TTTTATAAGAAAGGAATTATAGATTATGTAATACAAAATTCTTTTCATAATGAAAAGAAACATGGTGATGTTGATAATCAATAAGTTTGAAATGAAATAGAGGTTCCTATTATTGATGCTCAAGAACAATATGATATGTTATATTATAACAATCTTGATTATACACTTAAATAGATAAAAGTCTTTTAGGTTAATAGAGTTAATAAAAGCTAGAGAAAATTTGTTGTCATAATTATTTTGTTAATTATTGGGTCCAGGTAAAATGTTTACAACAAGTTAATGGTTTTTCATTTAAGATCAACTGAAAGTTTATGTTGAGAGAAATTAATATCACACTTTTATTCTATTTTAAGTTTTTCTTTCTTTGTTTTTCATATTTGTAAATATTATTGTTTTGATGTATTGATTGGTTATAGATATTTGTTTGTGCTTTTTGATTTGATTATCTTGTAATCATATTTAATGTTAATAAAACTTAATTAATTAACTTATACCCTTATGTTTTTACTCTCTAATTAAAACGATATTCTCATCTTAAAAATACTAGTATTGTCTTTTGTAATTATTATTATCTCCTTTTTATTAGTTAGTTCTCATAAATGATTGTAAGTTTGGAGGAATTATTTTCATTATCTTCAATTTATTTTATCTTGCATATCATGATTTGGAAATGGTAGCATTTGTACATTTGAAATATATTTAATAATTGTTCGAAAATTATACTTGTTTGTCAAAGTATAAAGTACAGTTTATATATCTATTGACAAATTTGTTTAATTTTAATTGGTTTTTAATTTATTAGAGATGTATTGGCATGTCTGATCTCATATAGTACAACACATATTTAAAAGTTTTCATATATTTAATATCATTCGCTCAAATTCCTCATAATGTAATTTTAATCATATTTTATTTTCACATTTAATCGTATTTGATCGAAAATCAATATCTTAGAATCTACATTCATATTCCAAGTAAACTAGTCTTTCTGATCTTATAATATATCAATTAAACTCTATTAATTAATCACTAATAGAAAATAGTACTTGTGATCAGTATAGGGTAATAGTCATAATAAATTGATTGATAATATTTTTGTAATTAATAAAGGTTATAGTTAGATTAAAATTCTCGGATAATTTTTATATTTGTATTAGAATTTTAATTTTGAATTTTGAATAGTTTCAATTAAGTTTTTTTTAATGTGTAGAAAATAAGTCTAAATCGTTGATAATGTGTAAATGGTTAACAATGATATACCATAGAACATAGTGATATGAATTATTTTATTACTTAGAAATTGAGAATTATTTTATTATGTAGAATTGATTAATTGCACAGCTTAGCACAACAATTGGAAATTTGGTGCACAATGGCGAATGTCATACAAGAAGAGTTAGGGATTTGAAAACCAACAAGAAATTTGGAAACAATTGAAAAGAGTTGGGAACAAGATTTTCAACATACATTCAACATTCGTCGATGATAAAAGGTTAACGACACTTGAGGTGAGTTTGATTCGGTGAGTGAATGTAAAGAAAAGAATACATAGAATAAAAAGTGTTAGAAACTAAAAACACAAACTGAAAGAGTTGAAACTGATCGGAGTCACTAAAAAAAACCCACTAGGAATGTTAACAATTAGCAAGTTGAGAAAAGAGAAACCTGTTTTGTAATGACAGAAGACCATGAAAAAAGTTACAAAACTGTAGACAAAATTTTAAAGGACGTTATTAGAAAAAAAGGGTTGTAAGGCTATTTTGAAATCTAGGAAAGAGTTAAAAAATGACAAACACCTTTAAAGAAATAGAAAGGCACGAATGACAATAAAATATAATTTTTTTAAAGATAAATCTGGCAAAACATTCTTGGCTAAAGGAGTATTAGACTCTTGTAGAAACAACACAAAGCAAAAAAAAAAAAAAGAACATATTCACAAGTTTTTAGCTGACCTTCATACATACAGTAGAAACAAAAACAAAGTTCAACTCAATAGTATTTCTAGTACATTCCATAACTAAACTGAAGAGTGACCAAATAATGTAGAAAAATATTGAAAACATAGTTCAAAAGATTAAAATGTTATGAATAACCTACAAAAGTAGCACAAAACATCCACACGCGATCAAATATCATGTCTATAAAAAAATGGAAAAAACAAAAAAAAGTAAGGAGAAGAAGAAAGAAAGAAAACCAGACATCATTTACTAAATATTAAAATTCACCTGACGTCATAATTAATAAAAATGACTTATTTAAAAAATCTAATTAAAACTACTTAAAATTTAAAAATAAAATTAAAATTTCAATATAAATATGAAAATCAACAACAGTTTTAACCTTAAACTTATTGTACACCTGACATAATAAATAAACTTATTATGTCACGTCCTTTTTTTTCGTAAAATGTTATAGAATTGACATAAAAATGTCAAACCAACACTAGTACAAAAATAGTGTATAACGTCATACGTTCAACCACTGAATAACTAACGTTAAAAATAAGTGATAACATGTTTGTAAATAAATACAATTATTAAACATCATTTAGAATTATAATTCGACGTAAAAGATATAAAATGTCGAATACCCTTTAAATTCGACGTCAAAAGGTTACTTAATTCAATAAAAATTTGAGCGGGAGATTGAAAATTCATTCACTTTATCTTAGGGCGCGATACCCTATTCTCTTTTCAAAATTTTCTCGAACGAAGTTTAACGAGCATCATATGTTAATTAATTACTTTATGTATGATTTTGTTTGTTTTAATCGATTATTTTCGTGCTCTTGTCCTTCGTAGGCGCATTCTGCTTTCTCTCTCACGGGTGACGAAACTTTATTTCGATGAACCCACCTTTTGAATGTTAGTTTTCGTTTTGAAGAACTTATTTGTTAAACTTGTTTGGTGTTGTTGTTTGGTTGAACTTGTTTGTTGTTGTTATTTGATTGAACTTGTTTGTTGTTGGTTATTATTGTTTGTTATTGATACTACACTAAACGTTCATAGTTCATGCATTATAAAATACCAAAAACTGAAATTTGTTGCCTTTTGCTTTTCAGGTCTCATAGAGTTGTAAAAATCGATCATAATTAATTAGAAAAACAAAAAAATTGATTAACGTTGAATATTGACAAAATTCAACGTCGAAAATTCGACGTTAACGTCAAATTTTTTAAATTCGACGTTAACGTCAAATTTTTTAAATTCGACGTTAACGTCTTAAATTTGACGTTTAGAAGTTAACATCAAATTTTTTAAATTCAACGTTAAGTTAACGTCAAATTTAAATTTGACGTTAAGTTAACGTCAAATTTAAATTTGACGTTAAGTTAACGTCGAATTTTTAAAATTCGTTTAATGTCTCCTAACGTCGTTTGCGAATTTACCGTTAAAAGTCTAAAATATTTGATGTTGTATGTGATTTTTGTACCAGTGCAACTTAATGATAATTAAACACAGTCCATACAAACATTTTTAAAAGCTTTTAAAATGCCAAATTAAGATATTTAAAACTTAATATATTAAAACATAAAAACAAGAAACTAACATTTAGGGAGTGAAATATAACTTGGCTAAAATTTGTTTATATCAAATATCTATCATAAGTTTTGTTTAATATTAATTTTTTAATAATTATATTTATATTTATATTTATTGTGACATATTACAATATTAATATTTATATTTATTTTTATTATGACATATACTTAGATACTAATATAATATTATCTAACACTTATTTTGAAATACTTAAAACTTTGATACGACAGTTTAAAATATCTACTTAATATATTCTTAAGGGTTAAATATGTTTTTAGTCCCTAAATTATTGGCCGTTTCTGGTTTTCGTCCCTCTTTCAAAATAAGATACAATTTGGTCATCATTCTTTTCGAAACTTTAGTTTTAGTCCTCGAAACTTTAGTTTTAGTCCTCGAAACTTTGGTTTTAGTCCTCGAAAACTAAACTTGAAAACTACCAAATTTTTAACGGTGTTAGTTTTCGAGGACTAAAACCAAAGTTTCGAAAAGAATGAGGACCAAATTGTACTTTATTTTGAAAGAGGGACGAAAACCAGAAATAACCAATAGTTTAGGGACTAAAAACATATTTAACCCTATTCTTAATTAAAATATTATTCATCAAATCTTATATCTTATAAATTTTGTATATAGAATAAATATTTTCAAATTAAATAATTACTAAATCCTCTTATATATCTTTTAGAATTTCTTTTAACTAAATGATTTTATCTCTTATCATATTCTTCAAATAAAATAAATATTTTAAATTAGATATAACTAATAAACTATTCTATCTCTTTACTTAAAGTATCTATTTAACTTCATGTGTTATTAATTTTATAATTATTATAATTTTTAGAGTCACATCACACCACCATTGACATTTAAAAATCTTAATTGTAATTTAAAAATCTTTTAATTGAATAAAAATTACCTATAAAACAAAATATAAATTTTTAAATGATATCTTTGGGAATTTTCATTATCAATTTTTGAACAACTACTCATGATTTTATAATGTGAAAAATAGTATTTTAAACCTACTATCATTTACTTAATTTTTTTATCTTGTATATAGTATAAATTATATCATTTATGCTTTTTGATTATTTATATTTTCATTATATGAGTATAGTTATCTAAATGTCGATGAACACATATTATCATTATTATTATCATTTTATCCTATACTAAGTTATCATCACCTAGTTTAAACTAGATCATTAATAATCAGTTTGACATAAATAAAAGATTAATTAGTGCTTTAAACGTAACATTATTAATTAACATGATATCGTGATATGTTTTATTTTTGTTTTTAGATAAATTAATGTTTACGATTAGTTGATATGTATATATCATTTATTGTTATTTTATCAATAAATAATATATAAATTGAAAAAGAAGGAAAAAAGAGAAAGCATCAATAGAATTTCTGTAGTGAGTTGGAAAAGAAAGAAAGAAAGAAGAAAGAAGATGACGGAACAGAGTGATGAATGCCAGAATGAATTTCGTGCTTCGCCTTCAAAACTGTTGCCTATCATTCAAACTCAGTCTTCTCCATCGCACAACTTCAATGATATGTCGGAAACAACCTCCCCCCTCAGCTGCCCTGTTCAAGATGTCGTCGAATCTCTTCCGATGTCGTCGTCGTCTCAAACATCACAACGTGACAACATGCGAGTTCAGTCCAAAAAATCGAAAAGGATAACTTGGACTACAGAAGAGCATAGGTTATTTTATCTGTCACCTTATTATTATTCTTTTTATTTATTGTTTATGATTCCTTCTTCACATTATACTAATTCATATGTTTGTTTATTCTCCATAGACGGTTTCTAGAAGCACTCAGTAAATATGAGAAAGGAAACTGGAAACAAATTTCAGCATATATTCAAACAAAAAATGTAACTCAAGTAGCCAGTCATGCACAAAAGTATTTTATCCGTCAAGGTAGATCAGAAGAGCAAAAAAAGAGAAAAAGCATTCATGACATGGTTTTGGATACTAATATTGATAATGAGAATTCATCTTCTTCTAAAACAAATCCTGCAATTTCACAATTTTATGAGATACAACCATTGCAAATACAACCACAACAATCAATACCTCCTACACAGTATAACCAGAGACAACCACCGCAGGTGCAACCACTGCAAAGACAACCACTGCAATCTGTACATCATACACAGTTTAACCAAAGACAAACACCACAGGTGCAACCACTGCAATCAGTACATCATACACAGTTTAACAAGATTCGACGAACACATAGTGTAATGGAGGCGAATTCTTTCAACAAGAAAGCTCATCATCCTACACAGTTTGCCAAGATGCAACCAGTACATCCCATGGCAAGTGTGAATTCCAACAACATAGTTCATCAACCTGCACAGTTTAATCCACCAACAACGAACGTCTTCCTGCAGGTTAATCCCGTCAACACCATAATTCATCATCCCTCACAGTTTAATCAAATGCAACCGACAAGAGAAACAGTGTATACTAATGTTAAGAATTGGTCAAGAGGATGACTGTTTTGTTGTGCTTGTAATTTTTTCATTAATAGCTAACCATTTTGTTTTATGTAACTACCCATTCCTTCTTTTATTATTTTTTAATAAATGATTTAAATTTTATTTTAATTTTATATCTTAATTTAGTATTTATTATTAGATTTAATTAGACTTAATTTGCACTTTTCACTACAAAAAATTAGATTTTTACTGGGGTTATTTTTTCCGTTTCCAGCGGTTTTAACCTCCGGAAAGTACATTACCCGCGGTTTGAAAAATCGTTGGGAAAAGCTGCATCGCTAAGTAATTATTGACGATTTTTTGAAAAACCGTCACAATTAGCGGAGGTTTTACTAAAACCGCCGGTAGTAGCGGGGGTTTTACTAAAAACGTCGATAGTAGCGGGGGTTTTACTAAAAACGTCGATAGTAGCGGGGGTTTTACTAAAACCGCCGGTATTAGCAGAGGTGTATTACTAAAACCGCCGGAAATAAGCAGGATTAAGCAAAACCGCCAGTATTTTATGGGAGTTTATAAAAACCGTCGGTAATTCCTGAGTTTACATAGTTGGGATTTCCAATACCGTCGCATGTAAATAATTTAATTTTTATTATTATTCAAATTATTTGATTATCATTAATAAACCAAAATTAGATGATAGTAAACCAAAATTAAATGTAAACATTAAATATAAACCAAAATATTATTATATAAATTGTAAACATTAGAAATACAATTAATGTTTCTCAAAAACTAAAATAAACATGTTATGAATAATAATTATATTTTGTAATTTTTCATTATCGTCATCATTTGATACTTCTTTGTTGTCTTCATCACTTAATACTTCTTCATTGTCTTCATCATTTGATAAGCTTCCTTTTTCAAATACCTACAATATAAAACAATAATTTGTTAATAATATTTAAAAATAAATTATTAGACGAATTTAAGAATTATTGATGGTTGAAAAATGTTAAAATATGATATAATAGAAACCAAATAGCCAACTTATATTTTAGAATTAAATTAAAACAAATTCATCTATAAATATATCTTTATGTATTAAGTATAGGTAAATAATAAAATATATTATATAAAATTTGATTATCCAAAAAAATCATATAAGAAATATTTTTATTATCGATTAATTTTGAACCACAATCAAACCAGATAGAGAATTGATTATTGATCGAACTATTTAATTGGTCTGATGTAATCTTGTCTAGTAATAAAGAAAAAAAAAATAAGAACAAAGAAAAATATAAGAAAAGTTAAAAGAAAATATGGAAATTAAAGGAAAAAGACAACTATAGACTATATAGCTCCCAAAAAAAATTATGGGAGAGAGAAAACTATAGCTCGCAATCTTATCATTAGAACCTAATATAATAGATTAATACTAAGCAAATTCTCGGAAAACATACCTTAAGTAAAGCTTTTTACTTAGATTAAACCAAATCCAAAACAATGTATATCTGATCTCAAAGTGGTGGTGGTTATAGCTCTGATAACTGGCCAAAAAGGAAACGGAAAATAAATAAGATAAAGAAATAAAGCATGAACAACATGAGTAATCAAAATGAAAAAAAGCAAAAAACATTAACAAATACTTGCATAAATCTTTGAACTGCCTAACTGCCTGGCTTGTATCTGTTTGTGTCTCAACTTCTACATATATAAACAAAATCTGCACAGACCCAAGGGCATTGAAGAATTTCCCAGAACATTCACGCTGAGAAAAATATTCTTGATGAAAACAAGTAATGTAGTTGACATTAAATATTACTATCATGTTAGAATCAAGGAAGCCTGCATTGTTCATGGCCTCGTAAGCTTGGCCTGTTGTCAATGACCCATCTCCTATCACTGATATGATGTTGTTCTTCTTCCCAAGTAGATCACGTGCAATGACCATGCCTAATAAATATTCAGAGTTGTTGCTCAATTGTGAGATAAATGATTCTACACATATATTTGACGAAAATACATTCATCTTAAAATATAAGAATCTTACCAAGACCAGCAGATATGCTTGTAGAACTGTGTCCTACCCCAAAAGCATCATGAATGCTCTCATCCCTTTTTGGAAAACCTGCCAGCCCCAAAGTCTTCCTAATGGTGTGCATTCTGGACTTTCTACCTGTAAGAATCTTGTGTTGGTATGCCTGCAATTCGGTTACATTTTAGACTCTCTTACACACATCACACATGATATAATGATGAAAATTGTACAGAAGAGAATAAAAAATATAGAATTCTAGTTTTGTCATGAGCAATGAATTTTCTCTAAAAGAAGATTATATTTCTTTTGTTGTTATTTAACTTGTATTAGAAAAGAAGAAGAAATAAACAACACGAAAGATTACCTGATGACCAACATCCCATACAAGTTCGAGAGACTATAATCTCAATAAGTATCCATCTGGACCAAAAGATTTCATAGTAATAGTAGCCTTTGCAGCCCCCAGTGATTTAAAATGTCCAAGTCCCCCATTCTGCCACTTATCTGCCCTGGAAGANATTTGACGAAAATACATTCATCTTAAAATATAAGAATCTTACCAAGACCAGCAGATATGCTTGTAGAACTGTGTCCTACCCCAAAAGCATCATGAATGCTCTCATCCCTTTTTGGAAAACCTGCCAGCCCCAAAGTCTTCCTAATGGTGTGCATTCTGGACTTTCTACCTGTAAGAATCTTGTGTTGGTATGCCTGCAATTCGGTTACATTTTAGACTCTCTTACACACATCACACATGATATAATGATGAAAATTGTACAGAAGAGAATAAAAAATATAGAATTCTAGTTTTGTCATGAGCAATGAATTTTCTCTAAAAGAAGATTATATTTCTTTTGTTGTTATTTAACTTGTATTAGAAAAGAAGAAGAAATAAACAACACGAAAGATTACCTGATGACCAACATCCCATACAAGTTCGAGAGACTATAATCTCAATAAGTATCCATCTGGACCAAAAGATTTCATAGTAATAGTAGCCTTTGCAGCCCCCAGTGATTTAAAATGTCCAAGTCCCCCATTCTGCCACTTATCTGCCCTGGAAGATTTAGAATTCAAATAACCATTTGTCCAGACCATATGTAGCATGTTTTCCATCTTGAGTCTCAACACTTAAATGATTAGGAGAGACATCATCTGCATTGGTTGCAGGACTAATAAATTTATCAACCGTGATATCCTCATTAGTTTCTGAATTTACAGTGAGGTGTCCCTGTTCAACACAAATGAAAAATTGAGTGCACATGCAAAAAAAACCAAAGTGTTGGAGGTAATGCCAAATGAAATAAACAGTGCTTAAAATCAGTTCATGAGCAAAATTAAATTTACAAAACTCATAACCAGTTCTTACGAATTAACTATAAGCCATTCTTCACTGAAACGCCTAGAGAGACTTCTTTTGCAATTCACTCATGTTTGTCTTGTGCAACCAAGTTCTTACATATCTATGAGAAACTGAGAGGGTACTATACAAAAGCTCTCAAGAATTAGAAAAAGAAAACTCATTATACATCCGAAAACAAACAATCGAGTGCGATATTTGGTCATCGAGAGGAAGTGAGATACACAGAAACACCTAAAATTGAGATCGAAAAATTATTCGCAACCAAAAAACAGCATTACGAAAACGACATTTTTTTCAAATCTACTTCAATGGCCTCTAGTTTCTCCGAGACTAAACAAATATCACATTTATTGATACACAAAAATGAAAACAAGTGAACTAAAACAAAATAAACGAAATTAATCACAACATACCAAATTTTGATTATTAGATTGAACATCTCGATCTCCAGCCACCTTGATTTCACCAGGTTCGACATCAGATTCTGTCTCTTTTTTCCCTACCTCACTATCCAGAGCTTCATCATCTAGTGTCTTGGAGCTTAGACCTGATGGAAGCAGAGAATTCGTACAAACTACAAAGGAAAATCAGCGATTCCTTCCGCGAGGGTTTGGAGACATCGACATGGATGAAGAACTGGTCCATGGCAGAATCCTTGTCCTTGGGGATCGACAACTGCATGACGTAGACACTTACCCCTTCCTTGTCGTAGCTGCGTTTCAAAACCAGACCTTGGGAGTTCCCTTCACGATGGTGAAGGGCGATGGAGGACTCACTTTCTGCGATGTCGTCATGGGAACCAATGTCTAGACCTATGGTAAAACCCTAACAAACAAAGAGAGTGAGAGAGATCTTACAGGAACCGGAGAAGTGAAGAAGGTTTGGGAACGAAAATGACCACCATAGAACACTCGCAGTGCCCACCAACGCTTCCACCAACGATGAAAATGTCAAGATCAATAGGAGGTTGGTTTCTTAATTTCTAGGGTTTGGGAAGACGTGAAGAGGAAAATGTCTGAGATGAGCGAGTTGGAGAAATTTAGAGTTGAAACTGAAGAACTTTATTTTAAAAAATTAAAAAAAATATATTTAACCGGGGGTTTAATATAACCGCCGGAAATTTCTGGAGGTTTTCTAAACCCCCAAAAATTAACCTCTAGTAAAATTTGATATTTTTGTAACCGCCGGAAATTTCTGAAATTTCATCCTCTAATTTATTTGTAAAATCCAATTAAATTCTTCCTATTAGATTGTGGTTAACGTCATGTTTGTATATGTTAAAATTAATAGAATTTTCAATTTTTATTTTTTCCTTTTTAAAAAAATATTGTCAGGTATTAAGTTACATGTAGGTTATTGTCGTGCTACATGTGTCACGTGTCGTCTAGTAGCATTATTTTGTATTTAAGTTTTTATATTTATAATTTTAACTCAATTTAGTTTATATATTTCTAATTTTGATTCAATTTAATTTTAAATTTTTTAAATAGGAATGTTATTTCTTTTCAATTAATAATTAAACTTAATTATAACTTATATATATACATGTTAAAATAATTTTATTAAATTTATATATCAAAATATTTTACCTAAATATTGAAATTAATTTTATTTTATACATTTTAATTTCAATAAAAAATATTAAAATTAAAAATATATAAAAAGCATTAATTTGAAGTGATTTGATATATAAATTGTAACACCCACGAGTCAAAGAATCAATGTTTGAAAAAAAAAATTTAGTTTTTGCAAGAAGAGGAGATTTCTAGAAGACTATTGAGAACCATTTTTGATTGTTGTGCATGATAGTTGTATTTTTTAGGATCATGAATGTGGTTATATTTTGGTTTTTTTGATTATGTTTTCACCAGTGCCAAATTGGCTTTTAACGTCTCCTCATAGACGTTCGTCCACAAAAAGCCCCAACGTAAATAATTGACCAGTGGCATATTCGTAAATAAGTGAAACTCTAGATGTCCGTTGTGGAGGGGAGGGGGGGACGGACGTCTATAATACTATAGACGTCCGTGGGAGGGGCCCGGACGTCTAAGAGGCTGAAAAAATGAACGTTCAACTCCCCTGTCAGCTCATTAAACGTCCGTGTAGGAGGGGCACGGACGTCTATAATATTATAGACGTCAAGCCCCCCATATCGGACGTTTAGGGTGCTGACAGGGTGGTTGAAGAATTAATTGTCTTCAGCCCCTTAAACGTCCACGGGGTGGGAGCCGGTTATAAACGTCCGTGCCCCTTCTGCACGGACGTTTAATGGGCTGACAGGGAGTTGAAGCGTTCATTTGTTCTGCCTCTTAGACGTCCGTCCTGGAGAGGGGACAGACGTCTATAATATTATAGACGTCCGGGCCCCTTCCACGGACGTCTAAAACCCCCCGCGAATACCAATTTTAAATCCGAAAGACGTCATATTAGTGATGGCCCGGACGTCTATAATAATATTATAGACGTCCGGGCCCTAGAGTACCGGACGTCTAACAATATTAATATGGGAAACACGAACCCGCGAGCAATTGCGCTCAATATTCATCGTCTTCCCCGCGAACGCTGTCTGTGCCATTGCTTTTCCAGGTGCGTTTTCTCTCTTTTGGACCGTTTGAATTTACTTTCAATCCGATTACATTGCCCTGTGATGAAATATCTTTGATTTGAACCGATTAAAAATCGTTTTCGGTGCGTTTTGGTGCAGTCTTTTGCGTGTTCTTGGGCGGCTTCTTTGAAAATTTTTAGGCTACATTTTAGGCCGTTACCTCCTCGATTTCCCTCCCTTTCATTTCGAATCTACTTTTCAGGTTAGCTTGTTGGTTGATAAATTTTTGTATGCATGTAATTAGGTTTTGTGTATGCATGTTTTTTACTCTAAGGTATGCATGTGTTATTGGCTTTTGAATATGGATGTATTAGTTGTGTTATTATAATTGTGATATGTTAGTATATAAGTATCAAATCATTGAGTGACACTTAGTTCCCGTTTGAAATTTAACACAAACGATTAATCTTTTAATCGTTTGTGTTAAATTTTGAATTGTCCGATTGGATAGTTTGAGAAAATTAATTTTCATAATTTGCAATAACATGTCAATTGGAGTTTATGGATAAGATTGTTGCAACGCTTCAAGAGTACATCTCCTATACTAAGAGGACACAATTAGGCAGATAATGCAGGAGTGGAGACCGTTATCTTCCTGCAAAGATGAAGTTGGGAAAGTTTAATTTGTTGTTGAACCTTGCTTATTTTTAGTTTAAGTTTTACCTGATAGTTTTGGTAGTGGATTATATTTTACATTAATAACTTTGTTTATATGAAACTCAATATATAATTATTGCAAACTGTTCTGGGACCATTTTATTGCTTTTCAACAGGTGTGGTTTTATTGCAAAAATAAATTAACTTTTTTTAAAAAAAGGGTTAAATATGTTTTTAGTCCATAAACTATTGGCCGTTTCTGGTTTTCGTCCCTCTTTCAAAATAAGGTACAATTTAGTCCTCATTCTTTTCGAAACTTTGGTTTTAGTCCTCTAAAACTAACACCGTTAAAAATTAGCTGACGTGCCTAACGGTAGACTGACACACACGGTTTTTTTTTCAAATGTTTCTCACCTTTTTTCCCCTTCTCTCTCTTCCTTCTATCTTCCACCCAATTTCATCTTTCACAGCATCCCTGGTTACATCTTTCTCATGCAAATTGGGGCGAAATGAAATGCTTATTAAATTAAATTCACGCGAAGGAGTCATGAAATCCGTGTAGTAGGCATCGTCGTGAATGTAGCGAGAGAAATCATAGAGAGAAACAGAGATTTTTTTTCTTCTCGTTATGCTCTTGGTGAGAGAGAGAAAGAGTGAATCTTGGAGAGATAAGCGCCTAATTAATTCGCCTCTTCACCATTTCGTATTCTAGATGAACACTGCCAAGGTAATGAATCAGTGAATCTCGATGACGATGATGATAATTTCGCAACTCGATCTATCTCGGTTACTTCAATTGTGATGATGATTGTTGTTATTGTGGTGTGCGGTTGCAAATTTTGATTGGAAGTGGAATTTGAAGGTGAAGCCGAATGGGTGAATCATTGACTACTTTCCTGGTTTGTTCGTG